AACTCAGAAGAAAGTAAATGTACTGCTAGAGGTTTGGAAGACTGCTACAGGCTCCTGGGATTTGTGGGAGTTTGGAGAAGCTTAAAAATAAGAAGTCAGTAATTTTAGGAATTAGAAATGAGTGCTTAGAAGGTATTGGAAAGGTTCTGCAAAGTCTGTAGTCAGCATCTTTTAACCTTGTGCTTCCCATTAGTGTAATGACCTTGGAAAGATTTGAAATTTTGCAGTCCAATCAAGTAAATCATATATATGTAAGGTTCAATTTCTGTGATTCCAGAGAAACCCCTCAGATATTATGATAAATGTGCTATCTACAGTATCTTCCACAGGACTCTCTGTGTTTCATTTATGATGCAAATGAGCTGTGAAAATTAGAAGTAATGTATATGCCACCACCAGCAGCCATTAATAGCAGTAGGATATTATCTTCACAATTATAGTTTGAATCTTTACAGTTTTCTTTATAGTTGATACAATAAATTATATGTATTTTTTTCAAATTGCTATTCCCACATAGTTCAATACATCATTGAGACTTTGCTTCTGGTTTGTTGTTGTTGTTTTCATTGTTGTATTTTGGGGCATTTTGGTTTTAATTGAAAGAAACATTGCAAATTACAGACTGACATATTTTTGATGAAATGACAAGGCAAACACAAAGCCATACAGAGCTGACAAAATGAGATAGAAGAGGGAACTATTCTTTAAAGTTATAAATGTGAAAATTGATTCAAGAACACTAGCTGTTTTCAATTTTTTATTACAACATACTTTAAGGACACCCATGTTCTTACAAACTGGAGCTTATGTTCTGATATGCAAATATAATTAACACTTAAATTGACACTCTGTGTCCTGTGGAGTGGCATTTTTCTATTCTCAAATGTGAGCAATTTGTAAAGGATGATGGTGGCAGTGAAAGATCTCAACATCTGAAATTGGGGTGTCCTCCTGGAGGGGTGCTGGCACTGCTGGCTGATTGGATCTGCCAACACCTACAAGTGCAGGAATGGATTTTGGGCTGGGGCTGGCCAGCTCCAGGGGCTGCTGCAGGAAGGGTTTGTGTGTCACCCTGTGCAGGCAGAGCAGGAGCTCCAGCACAGCTCAGTCTTTGTGGCAACAGTGATTTCCAATGCCAGCACAAAATGTCTGAGAGCTGGGAAGGTCTGGAAGGGAGGCTCACAGAACAGAGGTGTCACTGCCATTGCATCCCAAAGTCCATGAGCAGAGTGTTAGACCACAGTGTTAGCTCAGTGGAGATTTTTAGGGACATTTTTAGGTTCAAACTTGTCTGATTGTACAGTAGCTTCACACTTACACCTGTGCTGAGGCAGCAGTGAAATGATGCAGCTCTGCTTCCATCAAGGCAGCAAAACAAAACCTCCTTTTGCTCAGTAGAGCAAAGAAAGTCATCACAAATCGTTGTTCTCCAGTGGCAGCAGATTCTGACCATCTTGGTACAGATGCAAACAGAGGTTTGAGCTGGGAAGGATGATTGAGATGAGCAGGGACAGACTGCATCCCATGCATGCAGAACAATGGAATTACCTGGCAGCACTTCACCCAGCCACAGTGAGCAATGTGCTGGAACAGTGCTCAGCTTCTTCATTCCTCATTTCCCTGGGTTGCTACGAAATCTCTCCCTTCTTTACCCTGCAATGACAACAGTCTTATCAACATTTAAGAGACTTTGCACCATACTGAAGAGCCAAATGAATAGGTAGGCCAAGGAAGGTACAGCAAGAATTAGCTGAAATTAAACACCGGTAAGAGTAAGAAGAAAAGATTGAAAAAAAGATTTGTTTTGTGTGGGACAAAAGATTAAGGGTGGGCATGATAACAGCCTAGTGCTGTGGAGAAGGTTGATTTAAAGAAGATGATGGTTAGTTATTTCCCTTCTCCACTGGAGCTGGGACATGAGTTTAGGAAGAAATCAGCTTAATTTGCTGGGGAAAAAAATTTAGATTGGATATTAGGAAAAGCTTTCTGCTTATTAGGAGAGTTAGGTGGTGGAACAGACTCTCCAGGTTAGTTTTAGATCTCATTCTCTGAAAGGCTTCTAAGGCTGTTACTCAGGCACAGAAGACAATGTACACCAGGGATAATCCCTGTGTAGAAGTAACTGAGACTGCACAGCACAAGGAGAGGATGAGCAAAGTTTGTTTCAGTTCATCCTTGTGCTCTTCTTGTCCAAAACATGGAGGTATTTGGCCTAGGGAAGGTGTGTATTCAAACAAGCCACTAATCTGACCCAGTTTCATTGAAAGTTTCATTTTATTTCAGGCAGAAATGGGAGGCAATAGGAAAAGTTTCATTTCTGGCATTAATTATTTCCCTTTTAATTTTCTCCAGAGTAAATCACATATTTTTTCTGCATATTTTAAAAAGTTGCATCAAAAAATACATTTTGGGTTTACTGAAATAAATGTAAAAACCTGACCAAAAAATGATCCATCGTTTTCAGGGAATTTCAGGATTTTAAAGTTTTTGTTCTTGTTTGGAGAAGGAGCAAACCTCAGCAGCGCTAAGTCGTTTGTATCTTGGAACAACTCTGCTCTCCACAGCTCCTGTGTGATCTTTGGCCTGTGGCAATGGCAGGGCTGCTCGGGGTGCCCAGGGGAAGGAGGGGAAGCTGCTGAGCCCAGAGATTGCAGAGCTCTGGGGGCTGCACTGGGCTCCTGTCCGATTTTCGGCTGTTTGGATGGCCTGGAAAGGCCCGGGGTGGCCTTGGTGCATCCCGCGTTTCAAAGGACGAGAAGAGGCTTCAGTTCTTTTCTCGGTCTCGGTGTTTATTAATTGTTTATCTAAAAGATTTTCTCTCGGCCCGACAGAGCTCTGCTCAGCAGCCAGCCATGAGCACACTCCCCCCTCTTCAGGGCGGTCACTTATCTTTATACTCAAAGTTACGTATACCATATTTACCATTTTTCCCCAATACTTTTCACCCTTATTGCCCAGTGCACTTTTAGTAATGACCAATCCTAAAGTGCCACCATCACCACAGAAGATGGAAGAGAAGAAGAAGAAGAAGAAGGACAGGACACGCCCCAATTCTTCCATCTTACTTCTCTAAACCCCCCTGTACAGAAATCCTAAACCCTGTGTTTCACTCTCTAATTAACTTATCCCTTCACCATTCACTCCGGTGAAATCCTCCTATCCTCATACAGGTGTCGTCTCCTGTGCAGGACCAAAGTCCAGCCACCAGACACTTCTGGCAACATTCCAGGACTCCCGAGCCCCCCAAGGGCGGTCTCGGTGACACCTCAGTCCTGAGGTGCTGAGATCCCACAGGCTCCCTGCGCTGCTGCCGTGACCTCAGCATCGCCCGTTCCTGCAGCGCCAGCTCTGAGCGGCTCCTGCAGCTCCCGCTTCCTCACCCCTGCTCGCACACAGCCTTTCATCGCCCCTGTAGGTTTTGTGAGAATCTTTATTTCATTTAGGGCAGGATGAGGGAAAAGGATGAGGCTCTCAGAGGGCTGTGTGGCTGAGTCGTGGCTGAAGTTCAAACAAATTGCTGGAGTGGTCCTGCAGCTGCAGCGAGTCCTGCAGCCGGAGCCCGACGTGCTGTGAGCTCACTGACACCGAGGTGCTCGGAGCAGATTCCTCCAGAGCAAGCCCAGACTGGTGAGGCTCATTTAAAACATCATCAGCCATCTCCTCATGCAGCAATCAGCTAAAGAAATAAGACTGGGCAGATGAAAACCCCAGGAAGGTAATAGAAGCTGGGGAAATGGAAGTTGGTGCCTGAAACAATTAAGAGTTCAGAGGTGAGTCAGAGAAAAAACAACTGCTTTTTATTAAAAATTCATTTCAATTTCATGGGCTGGCTGGAGAAGTGATTCCAGCACAGTCTGGCTTCAGAGAAATGCCTCCCAGAATGCAGGATGCAGAACAGCTCAACAGCACCAGGAAGACACAGGACAGAATTGTTGTTAGAGCGGACTTCTCCCTGGCCGAGGAACACTGAGGGATGGAATCAAAATGTCCTTGGTGCAGGGAAATTTACAGGCTCCTCTGCAAAAATTCCTCTCGCCAAACTCTCCAAAATCATATCAAGTCTAATATCTGCAGAACCAATGATGCACCAGGTTTGAGGCATTACATCACCAGCACCCGGCTCCATTGGCTGCTCCTGCCCTGAGGACAAGACATTCCTTCCTGCACCTTTCCAAAGCTGCTGCTTCTCAGGAATTAACTCTTCCAAGTGTGTCACCTTGGGACAAGCCTGAATTCCTGACTGAGACATGCAGACAGTGTTTAATACAAGAGGTGTTGTTTGCTTGAAGCTGCAGAGCAACAGCCGTGTCTCTTCAGTTCAGATTGTTTCTCAACCCTCACTGCAGAAAAATGAACTGTGTATTTTCTGCCCTTCAGGGAAAAAAAAAAACCAAATTGTCAGTGCTGCTATAAAAGGAGAATGCACTGAATCAAGAATACTATGCAACATCAGTAAATAAGGAATTTTTACAGGAAATAGAAGGGCTGCTGCTGCTGCTGCAGTGTGAAAAAATTCCTCTGAGTGGTTAATTAGATTAATCAGTGTCACTGCAAAAAAGATGCTGCAGATGCAGGTTAGCGCTGCCTGGCTTGAATTTCTATTGCTCTATTTCAGGTTGCATCCAAAAATAGCTGGTGGATCTAGACAGTGTTGCAGGAAAAAGAGTGGGGTACATCTGTGTGTGTATATATTTTGAGTATGTGTGTTCTTTCCCCTTTCCAAATTTCCAGTTTGCCTAGTAAGTGTGAGAAATCAGTTTCATAAGATTACTGCCCAAAAATCAGCTGATGAAACCCGTTGCATTCTAAGTAATTTGGTTATATAACTTTTCCAAAAAGAAAAAAAAAAAATCCCCGCACACAGAAAGATGCAAGGAAGTTTCTGGAAGATCATTTCTTGCCTAACTTTTTTTTTTTCTTTTTTTTTTTTTTTTCCTGAAGAAATGTTGTTCCAGGGAGTGTCTGACTAGTTCTGCAGCTTGGCAAAAAAGCCAGACGTTACCTCATAGCTGCGGCCAGACAGCCCATTTCTATGCCAGGCAACCACTGCAGAAGCACAGAGCACAGGGCCCTGCTTGATTAGCACTTCTGCTGTTTCGAGAGTCCTGGAGTGTTTTGTTCAAGGTGGGCTGCTGAGAGGGGACTCGGTGTGCTTTTGTGCAAATGAGAGTGAGGCAGGGGGTGTGTGGGGTGTGGGCTGGGGGCACGGGAGGGAGGGAGGCACAGGGACACAATAGGGGGAGGCTGCATTAATATTCCGTGGTCATGTTATCTTTGGGAAGCAGGATCTGTTTGATTTGACCTGGTCAAAAATAAAATAAAAAAAAAAAATAAAAAACAACCCACCAAGTATCACATCCTAAAGGTCAGAAGAAAAGAAAGAGATGGGAAACAAAGAGCTGTAATGACAGAGCAGGTCAAACTGAATTAAATGTTTAATTGTCTCCCTCGTGTCTCATCAAATAGCTGTCTTTAAAGCAAGAGGGATCTTTTCTTCCAGCAAAACTATTACCAATTCATCACTGAGTTGGAAGGTGACGAGTGTTTGTAAACATTACAGTCAATATAATTTTCTCATTCTCTCCCTCATTGTTGATTTACCTTGTTTAACTGGATCATTTACCTAGCAAAGCTGTGTCTATATCACGTGTTCCACAAATGCTGGGGTCCCTGCACAGAATTCCTGCCCAGCAGGACCGTGCTGTGCTTTTCAGCCAACTGTACCCCTTGCACAAGAGAAGGGCAAAGAGCAGGGCACAGACTGGGCAGGGATGCTCAGCCCTGCACCTCCTCCTGGCAGTGTCCTGGGGCGACTCCTTCCAGCAGCTGAGCTGTGGTTCAGTGCTCTGGAATGGAGACAGGCTGTGCAGTGAGCTGGGAAGGGAGATGCTGTGTCTGGGAGCAGCCTGAGTTCACCTCCTCGTGTCACACAAAGCTGTGGGGACACTGTAGGGCACTGGAGCCCCATGACCTCTCCTGCTGTATTGCCTCTGTTCTTGTCAACGACAGCAGAAACTTCTGTTTGGGACAGAAGAAATACATTTTAATAATTCTACTTTATTGGGTGACAAGATAGCTGCTAATAAACTCACCCTTCTACCTGAGAGTACTGCATGATTGTCAGAAAATTCAATATCAGAAAATGTGTGGGTTTGGATTATCTTTAGTAGTCAAGTTTCCAGATGACAAAAATTGTAGCTAAAGAGGTAAAATTAATTTGTTTTGGCCACATATAAAATCAGTGTCAGGGTCAGGATCAAACCCTTAAGAGTTCTTAACTCCCAGCCTTGTATTTGACCCCTAATGCAAGATATGCGCCCGTGGGAGGCACAAATCAGTCCTTACCTAAGACAACTTCTACTGAAACATCTACATTTCTTCCAAGCCTTTTTTTGGGCTTACAAGGAAAACAGATTCCCAGAACTTCAGGAATGTCAACTGGAAGTTGCAAGAGGAGAGACTAAAGTGTTACACTAATGGACTTAGGGCAAAAGTGGGATCCATCTGACCCAGTTAAGTCCAAGTCCAACTGCTCTAAGGCCCAAGGACATGTGTCAACACCAGGGATGGGGAAACCACAACGGGACTTTTCCCAAGATTTACAGGAAGAGATGTGCTCTGGATGTTCCCAGCTGCTCACAAGTGGGCCAAGAGCTGGCAATTCCAGTCCTGCCTCCAGTCCCAGCACTGCAGAACAGTGCTCCAGCTGAGGGTGTCTCAGGGATCTCCTGCAGGGCCATGCTCCTCCAGATCCTGCAGTATCACCTGGGCTTTGTGCTTTCTAGAAGCATCCCAGGCTCAGTGGGGACATTTGGCTGCTTGGTTGGGTGTGTGTGGTAGGACAGTGGTGGGTGTGGGTGCCTGGATCAGAAACAACCATTGCATTACCAGAGCTTTCCTGTGGTGCTGAATGCTGCTGATTCCCTGGATTACAGGGGGCCCCACAGGGCTCTTTGCAGATTCCAGTCACACGGCCGCAGAAGAGAAAAAGAAGGAAATTGCTTTTCTCCTCCTTTTTGGCAAATGAGAAGTTGGAGCAGGCAGCAGGGTGGATTGCTGGGTGCTGTGAACTGTGCTGGCTCTATCCCTTTGCATCTCTCCCAAGCTTTTCTCAAGATCATTTAAATACATTTAAATCCCATTTTACAGTCACCTTAGGACCAAATAATTTTGAGGCCAAATTTCCTTTCTAATATAGTTACGTTTAGTGTAGAGTAAATTTCCTCAAATTTTGGCTTGATGCTTAAAAACACCTTGGCACATGAGAGCAAACCCTAAGCCACTCCTGGCTCCTGTTTTTCCCCAGTGTGAGGGGATTTGCTGTTTCCCATGGTTTCACATATCAGTGATGACAAAAGAACATGGACATCCCAGCTTCCAGGGGCGTTCTGAGCTCCATTTGGGAAGCTCTGTGCTTCATTTGGCTGCCTCAGAAAACCTTGCTGAGGACACCCCATGTGGAGCTCCTGGCAGGCCAAACAGGAGGGCAGAGCACAGCTCAGGGGCAGTGCTGCAGTGTCCTTGCACAGGGTTTGCACAGGAGGAGGAGGCAGAAATGTGTGCTAAGGAAATGCAGCTGGAGGAATTTCAGGCTTTGGAGGCCAAGGTGCAGAGTGAAAACCTCAAGGACAGTTTCAGCCCCAAGCACTGGGTTCATCTTCCCAGCACAATGCAGATGGAAGGGTAGCCTATGCAATAGGAGTGGGGAAGTCAGTTAAATGTGTGCATGGGATACAGTGGAAGAAATGCATTAAAAAGTAGAAATTCCTGCCTCTAACCAGATCATCTTCCATACAAATTGGAAGCAGTTGGTGAAGGGGAGACTTGCAGGGTGATGGAGAGAAATAAGAACCAGCCCTGCTTGCCCAGCTCAGAACAGCAAGGTGTCAGTCCCAGATGGGGTCAGGAAAAGGTTTTATTTGTGCAGAGAATGGGAGGAATACAATCACAGGATGCCAGGAGCTGGGCTGTGCACGTGGGCATTGCCCATTGGGAAATAGGTATGGATGGAGCTGCAGTTTCCTTAGAAGATAACAGAGGTATTAACATTAAAGAGTAGAGATTGTTTAGATTGTTTGGGGAGCAAGAGAAAAGAATGAGAGGAGAGAGAGCTATTTGTGAAGGAAAAGGATTTATTAGCCTTAGAAAGTGGGGATCTGAGAGAGACCGGAATGGGGCTGCTGTGTCATTATGGGCTGCAGTTGGAGATGTTTCAGAGAGTAAACTGGTAATAGAAATATTTTATAGGCCACCTGACCAGAAAGAACAACTGGACTGTGAAATGACTGTGCAAATAAAACAGGCATGTAAAAAGGAGAGAGTGGTAGAATTGAAGATTTTAACTATGAGGCATAGACTGGAATACATTAAGAGAAATAAGGCTGGAGGTATGTTTGCAGATCAGACACAGACCTGCTTTCTGATTCAGCCTGAGCATCAACTGCACAGCTTGGCTATTACAAAGGGACTGCATGAGGACAGACACAATAGGGGAGAGCCCTGGGGAGGCAGCTTCCACAGGCTCCAAGGGAAAAAGATTTTAAAGGTGGATTGTGAAGGAAATGATAAAGAAAAAAAAGAAACAACAAAAAAAGAAACCGTGATTTTGGTCTGAGTGGTCTTAGAGCTTGCATTTCAAATATTTAGGTTTTATTTGTCTTACAGTTCCACAGAAGCAATCAGCAGTGTGGAATCATGTCCCACTAATGAATTAAATCCTGGAATCACCCAGCTTTATCCCAGGTGAAGCTGTCTGTTGTTAGTCAGGGCTGGGAAACAGGGCCTGTAATGAGACCCTGGCCCCAGTGACACCAACAGTAAAAGTCAGGTTTGATTTAACGAGGCCATGGCTTCATGCCTGATGCTCATAATCTCCTTGGGCAGGAGGGTGATTAGGGAAGGTGAGAGCAGCAAAGCTGGTTTGGAGGGCCAGGGAGGCTCCTCAGGGGATTCATTGCCTGCCATACACAGCTCCTAAAGGGTCATCAAAGGGTGAGACCCCTGCTAAAGGTAAGGATGAATCTTTCTGTATAAGTACAAGGTAGCCAAGGAATAGCTAAATTTTGAGTGGCTGTCATGAGTCATACACTGTTTTCTTGTAGCCCATATGCTTGACTTCACCTCATATATCCTCTCTGATTAAAAAAAAACAAAGGTAAATAGGATGGCTTTAGGGATTTGCAGACGAGTCCAAAATAGCTGCATGTATGGCATGTATTAAGATACCAATTTTACTGCAATTGTAGAGATACTGCCAAAAAGTAGCCTTTTTGTTTTATTCTTTGTATTTAAAAAAAAAAAGTAGAAAAAAGTATGTGTTTAAGGGGAGCAGAAGGAAGAGGTTGTAAAGAGTGAAAAGAAACCTCAAACCCAACAGGTGTCAATGATTCACAGCTCTCTTAGTCACCATTGCTGGCTGCATGAATCAATGGAAGACTCTGCCTATTAAATAAAGATTCAGTCTTGGTATAAAATATTGCCTGATAACCAAGCAGCCTTATTCAGTGAATGCCTCATGAAAGACTCAGACTGAGGCCCCCAAAGAGAGGCAGGTCAGTGCACAGTCATTTAGCAGGGGAAGCAAAAGCCGGATTTTAACAGTCTTTATGTAGATATTTAAAATATAAATCTGCTCTTGTTATAACTAATAATAATGAACTGGAACCCCGTCTTGTGTGGGCAGGCAGTGCCCAGGCCCCCAGGGCAGCCCTGAAGCACAGCCTCTGTCAATCCAAACACAGCCACTGTGACACTGTGTGGGCTCATGTTTGTGCACAGCAAGGGATGGAGCCCTGCCCAGAGCCAGGGACTCTTCACTGGCACTGCTGCTGGAAAAAATGTTGGGTTAACTCTGAATGCTCCTGCCCTGTTGCCCCCAACTTTTCAATTTGGCTGCCAGCAACCCTCTCCTCCCCCAAATACCACTAAAAGCAGTGACTGTTCAAACAGATTTTCCTTCAGTTGGTAATATTTTTTTGGAGATGAGATGTGCATGTGTTCATTAAAACTGAATTTTATTTTTTTTCAAAAAGAACAAACACGATCTGTGGTGATTGTCTCTGAGTTGCTAATCCATTTTTCAACCTCCTTTTCCTTTAACATTTGGTGCAGTTTTCATCCATTCT